ATAGAGACCTAGGGTGTTTTGGTTTGAGGTCCTTGGTCCACTTAAAGAAAGTTTAGGTCAAGGTGAAAGGTCAAGGTCATCTAAATTTTTATTTTGGCTTATACGACCTCAAAAAATTTTTGCAGTCATATATTGGTATGACTTTGGCGTTTTCATCGTCCGAAGACACATTGGTTTTTGCACAATAACTTTAGTTTAAGAATTAGGAATAATTGGCCTAAAAAGGGGCAAAAAACAAGCATTTTTCTAGTTTCATGACAATAACTTGTGTGTAAGTGTATGGATCTTTCTGAAATTGTACTACAAGGTTCCATATCACAAAGGGAAAGCTGGAATACAGTTTTGGGGTAATTCCCCAAAACGTTTAGGAATAAGGGGCCAAAAATGAGCATTTTTCTAGTTTCAAGACAATAACTTGTGTTCAAGTGTATGGATCTCTCTGAAATTGTACTGCAAGATACCATACCACATAGGAAAGGCTGGGATTGATATTGGAGGTAATTGCCGTAAAATTTTAGGAATTAGGGGCCAAAAAGGGGCAAAAAACAAGCATTTTCAACAATAACTTGTGTGTAAGTGTATGAATCTTTATGAAATTGTACTACAAGGCTCCATATCAGATAGGAAAAGCTGGGTTTGAGTTTTGGGGTAATTGCCGTAAATGTTTAGGAATTTGGGGCCACAAAGGGGCCAAAAACAAGCATTTTTCTAGTTTCAAGACAATAACTTGTGTGTAAGTGTATGGATCTTTATGATAAAATTTTGCAGTTGTATATTGGTATGACGTTGGCCAAATTGTCTGAAGATACATTGGTTTTTGCACAATAACTTTAGTTTAAGAATTAGGAATTAGGGGCATAAACGGGGGCAAAAAACAAGCATTTTTCTAGTTTCATGACAATAACTTGTGTGTAAGTGTATGGATCTTTATGAAATTGTACTACAAGGCTTCATATCACAAAGGGAAAGCTGGGTTTGAGTTTTGGGGTAATTGCCGTAAACGTTTAGGAATTTGGGGCCAAAAAACAAGCTTTTTTTCTAGTTTCCCGACAATAACTTGTGTTCAAGTGTATGGATCTCTCTGAAATTGTACTGCAAGGTACCATTCCACAAAGGGAAGGCTGGGATTAAGTTTGGGGTGATGAATCATAAAGGGGTTCAAAAAATTTGGGGGGGATTTTTTTTCGGTCCAAAATTAAACTTAGTTTGATTTTTAACAAAAATTGAATTCTTGGGGTTCTTTGATATGCTGAATCTAAACATGTATTTAGATTTTTTATTTTTATTTGTGGGCCATGCTATCAAATTGGTTCATATTGAGGTCAAAAGGGTCCAAAATAAAACTTTGTTTGATTTCATCAAAAATTGAATTCTTTGGATTCTTTGATATGCTGCATTTAACCATGTATTTAGATTTAGATATTGGACCATAATAGGTAAATTAACAATTTTTAAGTTCTTGAAGACCACATTCATTCTGTGTCAGAAACCTATGCTGTGTCAAATATTCAATCACAATTCAAATTCAGAGCTGTATCAAGCTTGAATGTTGTGTTTATTATACTTGCCCCAACTGTTCAGGGTTCGACCTCTGCGGTCGTATCAAGCTGCATCCAGTGGAGCATTTTATTATTTCTTATCAGACGCTGTACAGGATATTGACAAAATATTTTTACTAAATTGTTATATGCAACATGTCGTAACACATGATTTTTGGTTGAACACGTACGTTGACATAAAATGGGAGTTTTCTCCCCTCTCATATTTAAAACTAGCTGTATGGTGATATTACTCATTAACCATATATAGTAGAGATCTAGTGTCTTTTGATTTGAGGTCCTTACTTTATGACCTTGAAATATAGGTCAAGGTCATAGGTAAATTTGACATTCTAGATTTTGACCTTAGCATTAACTTTATTTTTATAAATGATAGGACTTCTTGCATTAGGTCGCAAGCCATATGACCTTGAAAAAGCCAACCAGAATTGTGTGAAAAGGAAGTAACTATTTTTTGTACATATTTAATGTAAAAGTATATAGAACCATATATTTTGGGAATCCGTGTCAAGTAACCTATATGTGTTGGGTAACAAAAATCAGTTTTCCCCTTGAACAACAGTTTGAAATTTTATTACAAATTTGTCTAACATCTCTTTTATTCAAATATTTACTGTACTGAGGTATATTTTTAATAAGAATGTAAAGTAATAGTAAATATACTATCACATATTACATTAATTTCTGAATTGATTGTTTTTTTACAGATGCAACTTTATATGATGTTTTAGTAGTAGAAGGTGCAGCATGGCAGCAGAAGATGTTAAATGGAGAATCTATAGATAGTTTAATTCTTTAGAGGATAAATAATATAAGTTATAGATTTATAATTTCTTTAATGTTCAAAATATCAGATGAGAATTTGCAAAGTGCCCTCAATATGTCTACGATGATTTAACATTCATAATAAAGAATGTATTGTAAACCTCTTTTTCAATATTCATATTAAAGGAAGTAGATTGTCAATTTAGATATTTACTTATTTACCTGAATTTTTTTATTAAGTAATAAAACAATATGACTTTATTTAGATTGTTTAGATTCAAGTTCAAAATGTATATACATCAGATAGTTTTGGTTTGCCAACAACTTCAATTGTATAGCCAAAAGATCAATTATTGGTTGTAAATAATGCCAGCTCTAACTAAAATCTTAAAATAGAAACTCTTCAAATTTGACAAGTTACCATATTATACATATGAATAAATTAGAATAGTCTGTAAATATTCTGTATTTTCCTTTTTGCATCATCTTTTGAGTAACCAAATCAGAACACCCAATTTGGTGAAATATTTTTTCCTATTATATCTATTATTGCTTTTGTACGATAAACACAAAAATGTATATGCAGTTTTGTTAAATATATCTAAATAAAGAATTAAAAAAAAAATCAATTTCAAATTAACACAAACAAAATTGACTTTAACTTATGGTTTAGTTCATGCACTCTTTAATGTATATCTTAAAAGTTTTGTTGTGGACTAAGCAAATATCAAATTATCATTTCAGAAGTACATTTTCTTGCATGGTATCATCTTCACTAACATTTAACATAGTGGGTTTAGGAGTTACTGAGGTAGTTCTTATTGAGGTGTTTCTTGTTTTTTTCTTTGGAGGAATCAGTGGTTTCTATGTCTTCAGGATATGGTTTTGTCATTCAAAGGGAACTGTCTATGTAATTCTGAAATGATATACATTTGGTATTTTATTGTAATTGAAAAAGAAACAATATTAGTGCATGAACATTTGAACTTTGAATATATAATATTTAAACTTGATAATTTATAATTTTTAAAATCGGTTTTGGAAATTTATTGTATCAAAATTAAATTGTAACTTGTGAACCAAAATAAGTGATATGTATTTGCAACTTGTAAACCATAAGTGATAGAGACCTAGGGTGTTTTGGTTTGAGGTCTTTGGTCAACTTAAAGACAATTTAGGGCAAGGTCAAAGGTCAAGGTCATTTTCTAAATTTTTATTTTGGCTTGTTATTTCTTATTATCAGGAATCCGTATAAGATATTGACAAAATATTTTTCTAAATTGTTATATGCAACATGTCGTAGCATATGATTTTTGGTTGAACACGTACGTTGACATAAAATGGGAGTTTTCTCCCCTCTCATATTTAAAAACTAGCTGTATGGTGATATTACTCATTAACCATATATAGTAGAATTCTAGTGTCTTTTTATTTGAGGTCCTTACTTTATGACCTTGAAATATAGGTCAAGGTCATAGGTAAATTTGACGTTCTAGATTTTGACCTTAGCATTAACTTTATTTTTATAAATGATAGGACTTCTTGCATTAGGTTGCAAGCCATATGACCTTGAAAAAGTCGACCAGAAGTGACCTTGTCTGAACCGGAAGTAGCTATTTTTTGTACTTATTTAATGTAAAAGTATATAGAACCATATATTTTTGGAATCCATGTCGAGTAACCTATCATATTATACCAGAAGTAATATTTTTCAAACCGGAAGTAATAAATTATCTCCTTTATACGGACAAAAGTGTATAGAAACCATATATTTTTAGAATCGGCACTCAGCTATAATCTAAGACTGGAAATGACATTTTAAACTCGATTTTGATATTTTCAGATACAGCCTAAATATGTTACACTCCTAGACAATGAAGATGGTTTCATGGTAGATTGATCACACATCTGGATACGTAGCATGTAGGTATTTGGTATTTTTAATTGTTCTTTTAACTATGTTTATATGGTTTGCAGGTAACAAAAATCAGTTTTCCCTTGAACAACAGCTTAAATTAGATTTGATCTTTTATTCAAATTTATACTCTTTATTTTAATGATAATGTATAGAAATTGTTTATTTACTTGTGTTCAAATTAGGATTTGTCATAAAAAATGCATCACATTAATTTTGAATTAATTGCAACAATCAATATTCTCTATTTAGGTGTAATACCACCAAATCATAGTACGTCACATCCGGTTGCATACGAAAATAGGTCAAAAAAAAATATTACCTTGAAATTGACAGTTGTAGGTAATTGATGCTACATTTCATTGCCGTAAAACATTTCTGTGTCATAAACATATATCTTGGGTATTTCAAAGCGCCATTATTTTTTTATTTGGGGTTTCTATAGAATATTTTGGAAACTTGAGGTTACATGGTTACTAAAGCTTGGATGTGCACAGGTTAAAAAAGGGGGAAATTTGATTGGTTAACTTCCAGTGATGGTTATTTTCTTATATGCAATGAAATGTTGTGTTAATTTTTTTCTATAGTACTGGACAGGAAATAACTTTACTCATGCCAAGTATTTCTTTATTTGAAACAAAGATAAATTCTGCACAATTTTTTGAAAAGTTCAAATTTAACAAAGACTAATAGGGGAAAATCAATGGTGGTATTACACCTTTAAAGCTGATACTGATTTAGAATTTTTGTTTTTGTTACAGATACGGACTAAATATGTTACACTCCTTGACAATGAAGATGCTTTCATGGTATATAGCACACGAAGATACATATCATGTAAGTATTTGGTCATTATAATTGTTCTTTTAACTCTTTTTATATGTGGAAGGTAACAAAAATCAGTTTTCCCCTTGAACAATCGTTTAAAATTTTATTACAAATTTGTCTAATATTTCTTTTATTCAAATATTTACTGAAATAAGTAATTGTAAATATACTAAGTCTCTAATTTAGGATTTGACATAAAACATGCATCACATTAATTTCTGAATTGATTGCAATAGCAAATATTCCCTATTTAAAGCTGATACTAATTTACAATTTCTGTTTTTGTTACAGATACAGCCTAAATATGTTACTCTTCGACAATGAAGATGGTTTCATTGTAGATAGCACATTGGGATTAGTTACATGTAGGTATTCATTCATTACAATTTTTTTCTTTAAACTGTTTATATTTGTTAGGCATTAAAAATCAGTTTTCACTGAAACAACAGATTGAAGCTTTATAACAAATTGGTTTAAAAATTTCTTTTATTCTTATTTATATCCTAATGAAGTATATTTTATTACGAATGTATAGGTATTGTGAATATACGTCTCCAATTTAGGATTTGACATAAAACATGCATCACATTAATTTTTGTATTGATTGCAACAGCAAATAGCTTTGATTCTGAAGCTAAAACCAATTTCAAATATTTGTTTTTGTTACAGATAGCCTAAATATGTAAGACTCCTATACCATGAAAGATGCTTCCATTGCAGATAGCAAATTAGGATTAGTCATGTAGGTATTTATTCATAACAATTGTTCTTAAAACTATGTTTATATTTGTTAGGTAATAAAAATCAGTTTTTTTCCTGGAACAACAGCTTGAAATTTTATTACAAATTGGTCCTACATTTCATTTATTGAAATATTCACTGTAATGAGATATATTTTAATAAGAAAAAAGTAAAATCACAAAAATACTGAACTCCGAGGAAAATTCAAAACGGAAAGCCCCTAACTAAATGGCAAAATCAAAAGCTCAATCACATCAAATGAATGGATAACAACTGTCATATTCCTGACTTCGTACAGGCATTTTCTTATGTAGAAAATAGTGGATTAAACCTGGTTTTAAAGCTAGCTAAACCTCTCGCTTGTATGACAGTCGCATCATATTTCATTATATTGACAGTGATGTGTGAACATAACAAACAGAACAATAGGTAAACATCTCACAAATAGGGGTACAACAGCAACACGAACCCCAACAAAAACTGGGGGTGATCTTAGGTGCTACGGTAGGGTAAGCAGATTCTGCTCCACATGTGGCACCCATCGTGTTGCTCATGTTATAACAAAGCCGGTAAATAGTCTAATTCTGTAGGTCACATTCGTGAAAAGGGAATGGTATTGTAGTTACGACAAGGAACACGAAGTGATGATTTCAACTTCACCATTTGGAACTCTTGGTTTTGTATGGTGATTGTAAAAATTCTTGTCTCCAATTAAGGATTTGACATAAAACATGCATCACATTAATTTCTGAATTGATTGCAACAGCAAATAGTCTGGATTAAAAGCTGAAATTAATGTATATTTTTTTTGTTTTCGTTACAGATAGCCTAAATATGTAAGACTCCTATACCATGAAAGATGCTTCCATTGCAGATGCACATTAGGATAAGTCACATGTAGGTATTTGGTCATTACAATTTTTTTTTCTTAAAACTATATCTATATTTGTTAGGTAATAAAAATCAGTTTTTTCCTGAAACACAACAGATTGAAGCTTGAAGATATGTTTATGTTTGTTAGGTAATAAAAATCCGTTTTTTTCCTGAACAGTTTTGACAAAGAGAACTTTATGTTAAAATGGGTCTCGTAAAAGCAGACCTCTGCAGAGAGCAAACTTAGATTTTGATATAACATTGATGAATTTAATGGGCACTAATCTCATGAAAACAGATCCCCAAAAAGAGCTGACTACATAGTATGATGAAAACTTGTGTTTATGGTAAAATGTATTTAGTTTTTTGTCTGGCTCCATTTCATTATCAACCAATTTGAAACTTTATTACAAATTGGTCTAAAAATATTTTCTTCAAATTTATACTCTAATTAAATATATTCTTAATGGAATGTATAGTAATTATAAATATTCTTGTCCAACATGCAAAAGATTAAATTCTGAAAAAATTGCAACAGCAAATAGACTCTAAAGCTGATATTAAGTTATAGTTTTTGTTAAAGATACAGCCTAAATATGTTGAACTCCTAGACAGAGAAGATGGATTCATGGCAGATATGAAGAGTCAACATGTAAGTATTTGGTCATTACAATTGTACTTAAAACTATGTTAATATTTGGAAGTCAATAAAAATCTGTTTTCACTGAAACAATAGCTTAAAATTTTATTACAAATTGGTCTAAAATATCTTTTATTCGAATTTCAAATGTGGTATATTTTAATAAGAATGAAAGAGTAATTGTAAATTAATTGCCTGTAATTTAAGATTTGACATCAAACTTGAATCACATTAATTTTTTAATTTTTTCAACAGCCATTAAATATTCTCTAAAGCTGATGCTAATTTTTTTTTTTCATTTGTAACACATACAGCCCTGATATGTTCCACTCCCATACAATGTTGATGGTTTCATGGTAGATGGCACATTAAATAGTTTAACATGTAAGTATTTAGTCATTACAATTGTACTTTAGACTTTGTTTATATGTGTTGGGTAATAAATATCAGTTTTCCCTGGAACAACAGCTTAAATAAAATTTTCTTTCAAATTAGTGTTACATTTTATTTTTTTTGGTTCAAATTTATAATCTAGTGAAGTAAATTTTAACATGAATGCGTAGTGATTGCAAATATACTGGATTCCAATTTAGGATTTGACATAAAATATGAGTGACATTTATTTATAATTGATTGCAACAGACAATAGTTACTAATTGAAGCTGATAAGGTCTTTTCCACTTTTCTGTGGAAAGTCCTAATGCTTTTGTTATAATTTTTTTTCTTTGCTGTTTGGTTGTTTTGATATCAAACAGTTTATACGCTTTTGAAACTGACACCACTTAACCGAATACTTTTCTATGTAAGAGAGATATCCCCGAACACTGTTTTTCTTGTTATTTCTTATTCTTCGCAACCTTAGGAGAAACCGACTAATTTATTTTTCCAAATTAGATGTTATGTTTCATTTTAACCGAAGCGTGACGAAGACTCCATATGAGAGTTATTCCCTCTCATGTATTTGAAATAAGTGATTGATATGTAATTGTAACTTGTAAACCATAAGTGATAGAGACCTAGGGTGTTTCGGTTTGAGGTCCTTGGTCCACTAAAAGAAAATTTAGGTCAAGGTCATCTTCTAAATTTTTATTTTGGCTTGTTACACGAACGCCAAAAAATTTTTGCGGTCGTATATTGGTATGACATTGGTGTCGTCCAAAGACACATTGGTTTTCGCACAATAACTTTAGTTTAAGTGAATGGATCTCGCTGGAATTTTACCATAAGGTTCAATACCACAAAAGAAAGGTTGGGATTGATTTTGGGGGTTATGGTACCAACAGTTAAGGAATTGGGGGCCAAAAATAAGCATTTTTGTAACTTCAAGACAACAACTTGTTTGTTAGTGTTTGAATCTCTCTGACATTATACCACAAGGTTCCATATCACAAAGGGAATGCTTGGATTGATTTTGGGGGTAATTGGCTCAAAATTTTAGGAATTAGGGCCAAAAAAGGGGCAAATAACAAGCATTTTCTAGTTTCATGACAATAACTTGTGTGTAAGTGTATTGATCTTTATGAAATTGTACTACAGTGTTCCATTTCATAAAGGAAAAGTTGGGTTTAATTTTTGGGGTAATTGCCGTAAACGTTTAGGAATTTGGGGCCAAAAAGGGGCCAAAAAACAAGCATTTTTCTAGTTTCCAGACAATAACTTGTGTTAAGTGTATGGATCTCTCTGAAATTGTACTGCAAGGTACCATACCACAAGGGAAGGCTGGGATTAAGCTTGGGGTGATGAATCATAAGGGGGTTCTAAAAATTTTCAGATTTTTGATTTTGGGTCCAGTTTTCAAGTTGGTCCAAATTGGGGTCCAAAATTAAACTTTGTTTGATTTCAAGAAAAAAATTGAATATATGGGGTTCTTTGATATGCTGAATCTAACCATGTATTTAGATTTTTTATTTTTATTTGTGGGCCATGCTATCAAATTGGTTCATATTGAGGTCTTAAAATTTAACTTTTGAGGTCAAAAGGATCCAAAATAAAACTTTGTTTGATTTGATCAAAAATTGAATTATCGGGGTTTTTTTGATATGCCAAATCTAACCGTGTATTTAGATTTTTAATATTGGGTCTCGTTTTTTAAATTGGTCTACATTAAGGTCCAAAGGGTCCAAAATTTAACTTAGTTTGATTTTAACAAAAATTGAATTCTTGGGGTTGTTTGATATGCTGAATCTAAACATGTGTTGAGATTTTTTATTATGGGCCCAGTTTTCAAGTTGGTCCGAATTGGGGTCCAAAATTAAACTTTGTTCTTAGACCACATTCATTGCGTGTCAGAAACCTATGCTGTGTCAAATATTTAATCACAATCCAAATTCAGAGCTGTATCAAGCTTGAACGTTGACATAAAATGGGAGTTTTCTCCCATCTCATATTTAAAACTAGCTGTATGGTGATATTACTCATTAACCATATATTGTAGAGATGTAGGGTCTTTTGATTTGAGGTCCTTACTTTATGACTTTGAAATATAGGTCAAGGTCATAGGTAAATTTGACGTTCTAGATTTTGACCTTAGCATTAACTTTATTTTTATAAATGATAGAACCCTAGGACTTCTTGCAATAGGTTGCAAGCCATATGACCTTGAAAAAGCCAACCAGAAGTGACCTTGTGTGAAAAGGAAGTAGCTATTTTTTGTACATATTTAATGTAAAAGTATATAGAACGATATATTTTTGGAATCCGTGTCTAGTAACCTATATGTGTTAGGTAACAAAAATCCGTTTTCTCCTTGAACAACAGTTTGAAATTTTATTACAAATTTGTCTAACATTTCTTTTATTCAAATATTTACTGTACTGAGGTATATTTTTAATAAGAATGTAAAGTAATTGTAAATACTAGTCTCCAATTATGAATTTGACATAAAACATGCATCACATTAATTTTCTGAATTGTTTTTTTACAGATGCAACTTGTATGTTTCTGTAGTAGAAGGTGCAGCATGGCAGCAGAAGATGGTAAATGGAGAATCGTGAAGAGACAGTTTAATTCTTTAGAGGATAAATAATATTATAGTTTATAGATTTATAGTTTATAATTTCTTTAATGTTCAAAATATCAGATGAGAATTAGCCAAGTGCCCTCAATATGTCGACAATGATATAACATTCATAATTAAGAATGTATTGTAAACCTTTTTTACAATATTCATATAAAAGGAAGTAGATTGTCAATTTAGATATTTACTTATTTACCTGAATTTTTTATTAAGTAATTGGAACAATATGACTTTATTTACATTGTTTAAATTCAAGTTCAAAATGTATATACATCAGATAGTTTTGGTTTGCCAACAACTTCAATTGTATAGCCAAAAGATCAATTGTTGGTTGTAAATAATGCCAGCTCTAACTTAAATCTTAAAATAGAAACTATCTTCAAATTTGACAAGTTACCATATTATACATATGAATAAATTAGAATAGTCTGTAAATATTCTGTATTTTCCCTTTTGCATCATCTTTTTAGTAACCAAATCAGAACACCCAATTTGGTGAAATACTTTTTCCTGTTATATCTATTATTGCTAAAATGTATATGCAGTTTTTGTCGAGCCTGCGACTTTTGTCGCAGAAAGCTCAACATAGGGATAGTGATCCTACGGCGGGGGCGGCGTTAGCTAACTTCTTAAAAGCTTTATATTTTAGAAGGTAGAAGATCTGGATGCTTCATACTTTGTATATGGATGCCTCATGTTACGAAGTTTCCGTCAGTCACATGTCCAATGTCCTTGACCTCATTTTCATGGTTCAGTGACTACTTGAAAAAAAAGTTAAGATTTTTTGTAATGTTAAATTCTCTCTTATTATATGTCATAGGATAACTATATTTGGTATGTGCGTACCTTGCAAGGTCCTCATGCCCGTCAGACAGTTTTCACTTGACCTCGACCTCATTTCATGGATCAGTGAACAAGGTTAAGTTTTGGTGGTCAAGTCCATATCTCAGATACTATAAGCAATAGGTCTAGTATATTCGGTGTATGGAAGGACTGTAAGGTGTACATGTACAACTGGCAGGTGTCATCTGACCATGACCTCATTTTCATGGTTCAGTGGTTATAGTTAAGTTTTTGTGTTTTGGTCCGTTTTTCTTATACTGTATGCAATAGGTCTACTATATTTGGTGTATGGAATGATTGTAAGGTGTACATGTCCAACTGAGAGGTGTCATCTGACCTTGACCTCATTTTCATGGTTCAGTGGTTATAGTTAAGTTTTTGTGTTTTGGTCCGTTTTTCTTATACTGTATGCAATAGGTCTACTATATTTGGTGTATGGAATGACTGTAAGGTGTACATGTCTAGCTGGCAGGTGTCATCTGACCTTGACCTCATTTTCATGGTTCAGTGGTCAAAGTTAAGTTTTTGAGTTTTGGTCTATTTTTCTAATACTATATATGCAATAGTTCAACTATATTTGGTGTATGGAAATATTTTATGATCTATATGTCAGTCACGCAGGTTTTATTTGACCTTGACCTCATTTTCAAGGTTCATTGCTCAGTGTTAAGTTTTTGTGTTTTGGTCTGTTTTTCCTAAACTATAAGCAATAGGTCAACTATATTTGTTGTATGGAAGATTTGTTAGCTGTACATGCCTGCCTTGCATGGTTTATCTGACCTTGACCTCATTTTCATGGTTCATTGGTCAATGTTTAGTTTACTTGGTTAATGTTAAGTTTATGTGGCAGTTGTAATAAAGCTTTATATTTAGGACTATCAACATAATATCAATGATTAGTAAAGAAGGCGAGACATTTCAGCGTGTGCACTCTTGTATTAAATATATCTAAATTAAAAATTCAAATAAAAATCAATTTCAAATTAACACAAACAAAATTGACTTTAACTTATGGTTTAGTTCATGCACTCTTTAATGTATATCTTAAAAGTTATGTTGTGGACTAAGCAAATATCAAATTATCATTTCAGAAGTACATTTTGCTTGCATGGTATCATCTTCACTAACATTTAACATAGTGGGTTTGGGAGTTACTGAGGTAGTTCTTATTGAGGTGTTTCTTGTTTTTTTCTATGGAGGAATCAGTGGTTTCTATGTCTTCAGGATATGGTTTTGTCATTCAAAGGGAACTGTCAATGTAATTCTGAAATGATATACATTTGGTATTTTATTGTCATTGAAAAAGAAACAATATTAGTGCATGAACATTTGAACTTTGAATATATAATATTTAAACTTGATAATTTATAGTTTTTAAATTGATTTTGGAAATTTATTGTATCAAAATTAAATTGTATTAGACAGTTTAATGAATGGAAATTGAAAATTAGAAAAACTTAATTCATGTTCTTAATTTAAGCACAAGTGAAAACAAAATTCCAAATATAAATTTCTGCTTCATTAAAACTTGTTAAATGGATATGCAAAATCACTGATAGCTAACATGGTTAATCCGTCTTAATTAGATAGTGTCGTTAAGTATAGTCTAATGGATCCTGTTGATATCATATTAAAAGTATTGATGTATTATAAATCCTATTCCTAAATCTCGCATGTTAGATGCCAGAGACCCCCCTTTGTTATAGAGGGATCGCCCTTGCATCAGTGTATTGCAAATTGTACTGGAATATACTGAACTATAGATTACTTTCTGTTAATAAAGCATAGGGTCACTTTCACTCAACTTACTTTTTTTTACGTATACTAGTATACGTTGATAATTTTATTTTATATTGCATTTTGATTTGCAATACACACATGTTTTAAGGTGTAGGTCAGAGCACCTGACCCTGGAGACGGGATTGCGCACTTGGCATCCACTGACACAGGTTTCTAGGGCTTTTTGATCGATTATATTGTTTTTTATCTCTAGTTGTTCCTGGCCGGCCCTGACTGTCTATGAAGGGGTGCATTTAGTCAAAAGTTGGTTTTGGTGTATTTAGGTTAATCATGGAAGTATTATATTTTACTTCCATGGGATCAAATATACATATGAATTGTATGATTTTAAATTATATATGCATTGCAATAATAAGAATTTATTGAATTTGTGAATTTTTATAATACAATCTGGCGTCCATCGAGCATGACGGGCTGTCGGCAAACTAAGATTATGTTTGCGTTGTTTATATTTTGCACGAGTATATAGTTAATACCACCTATTTTTGATAAGCAGTGGAAAGGTTTTATTCGTTTGTGGTCTAGATTTAATAACATGAGCTCAAGTCGGTTAAATGCAAAAGTTCATTAGTGGTCTGACAGAATGAGTATTAAGCATATAAGTGTGTTGAAAACGAACTTTTTAGTATGGAAAACCTCTGAACTGAATTCAAGTCATTTATCGTGTCCTGAAAATATGGACACTAATTATGTTGTTAAACTTTTAATGTCAAAATGCATTTCAGTCACAGAAGTGCTTTTCTCAAATTTAGATGTGGTGTTGCTCCACTAAGGATTTAAACTGGGAAATATGAAAATATTGTTTTAGAGTGTGCCATATATGTTATAGTTTTATTGAAGACGAAGCACATTTTATTAAGGTTTCCTCTTTATAAAGATTTTAGAAACCATTTATATTATGTTGCTGAAACTTGTAATGAAAATTTTAATACTTTAGATGATAACCAAAAGTTAAGTGTTTTTATTCTCAAATGTAAATATGATACATGTGTGTTCCAAAACCTTTTATTTGATTTTAAAAAGGTGTAGAAATTTTATATATGGTAAATACATGTAGTACTTTATTTCATATTGTTTATTGTATTGGTTCTATGCATTTTCATAGTCTCTTATAACTCTGTATTGAATGGCTCTCATTTTATTAAGTATTGTTTTACAATGTATAAATATCGATTGTAATTGTCAAGAGATGTGACATTCATAAAATATTGAATTAATTTAATTGTTATATATATAGTATTGCAATCAATATTTGTGTATGCCTCGCACAAAAAGGTGCAAGCAAGGCTGTACTGGTCATCTTCAGTTATCAAGGTTTTTTTTTTATAACAAACCCACTGAGATCTGGTATCCAGGAAATTAAAATGAATCAACAATAGTTTCGTGTATTTTGTACAATAATATTTTTTGTAATTACATCTTACTCATGATGCAGATCTGTCTTCATCTAATACTATGATGATGCACTACAGTGGCATAAAAGTCGTTACGATAGGTTTAGAAAGTGTCATTTTGGTATTTATTATCATGATGCATAAGACTTGAATTTCCCCACGTTTCAAGGAATAACATTGAAAAATAATTTATAAGCCAACACTTCTAGCCAGCAGTCTGTTTTGAATAATAAGGATTTCTTTAAAACTGTTCAATGTATACCTCCTTCGACAATCTTCCTAGCATTTACGCACGACATTTTCAGTTTTAAATTCGATTCGCCGTGTTAACTCGTTTTAGTTGGTTGTTCCATGATAGAATTTTTGCCATTATTTGATATTTCACATAAAATACAATGTAAGAGCATATCATCAATTACAATTGCTATGATTTACTTTATGTATTTATGCTTATCCTTGTATGCATGTTTATTGTTTTAATAAAGGTAAAATCCGATGTCTAGGTTATCGGCAATATGAATATATTATTTGTTTTGTTTAAGTCTAACTATTTGGTAAGATTCGTAAATGTTACAGCTCATTAACCCCTTCCATGGTGATGCACATGTTCATCCATTCCTTTGTCCTGTCTCAAGTTTGCTTTCCACTCTGATTAATTACAATTTGCCTAATGTCATGGACTTGCCTAATGTCATGGACAACAATAAAATGCAGCTGAAGTTCGATTTTGTCTTAGTTACCTTTAGAGGTGTAATATTACCAGTTTCCCCCATTAGTCTTTGTTAAATTTGCACTCTTCTAAATATTTATCTTTGTTCCAAATAAAGAAATACTTGGCTTTAGTAAAGTTTTTTTTCTTTCTAGCTGTATGGCTACAGACCAAATTTCAAATAAATGTCATTGCATATACGATGATTACCATCACTGGAAGTTCACCAATCAAATGTTCTCCCCCTTTTTCCTGTGTACAAGCTTTCGTAACCATGTAACCTCAAGTTTCCTAAATATTCTATAGAAACACGAATCCAGAGGCTCTGACGATCCTGTGTCGCTCACCTGGTTCTACTTTGGTTGTGGAAATCATGTAAAAATAGATTAAAATCATAACAGATACCCTAATGATAATTGAGGCCAATATAAAAAGGATGTGGTATGATTGCCAATGAGACAACTCTCCACAAGAGACCAAATGACACAGAAATTAACAACTATAGGTCACCGTACGGCCTTCAACAATGAGCAAAGCCCATACCGGACATTCAACTATAAAAGGCCCCGAAATGACAATTAATGTAAAACAATTTAAACGAGAAAACTAACGGCTTAATTTATGTTAAAAAAAACGAAAAACAAATATGTAACACATAAACAAACGACAACCACTGAATTACAGGCTCCTCACTTGGGACAGGCACATACATACGCCCTTACTGAAAAATAAGCCTCTGGCGAACTGTTGCGGTAAGGTTTCTGCAGATAGTTTGCGGCAACTTCACCACGACTTTTTACCATGCAAATTAAGGTGTGATTGCCTTATATAGTTTGTGGTGAACTTCTGGTGACTATTTGTGGTGAACCTCTGGCGAACTTTGATAGCCTTATATAGTTTGTGGCGAACTTCTGGCAATTTTTGTGGTGAACTTCCGGCAAACTTTCTAAGCCTTATATAGTTTGCGGTGAACTTCTGACAAATCAAATACTAATGATACATGTACCCTATGACTACCTTCCTGTTAATTCTTTTTCAAAACTACGTCTCATTCAAAACATGCACATTTGGATCAAAATTTAAATTATATTAATTATGACAAATAATTGTTATTTACCTGCTCACCTGCTAATAAAAATTTCATTTGTAAAGAAATGTGAAAGAGAGAAATATAAATTGTGACCACAAAAAAAAACCGTATAGGTACATGTATATCTATTTTTTTACACAGTGCAGAATTCAGAATGAGCTGATTAATTTCTTAATCAGTTAATAGATACATAATAAAATATTATAATGAAAAAAATCAAGAACAGATCTGTTTTTATAAGGCCAACTAAAAAGAACTGGGACTAACAGCATGACAACATTTATACCATGTATACTGTATTAAGCATAAAATTATATCTAAAATATTAATCAAATGTGATTTAACAATAAAGCATTACAAATTATTTGAGCATAAGAAGACCATTCCTGCTAAACATCATTATCCACAAAGTTTAAGTTTATAACTGCAATGATATTTCTCTAAGGGCAGTATTTAAGAGTGTAACACTATTGTCATTTTCAAAATGGGGGTTCTTTGACATAAATTTTGTACCAATGATACCAAATTCACATGCAAAAAATGTCTAAAATGACTTACAAAGAGATGATCAATAATGCATTGCCTGTTCCAGGAACTAATTGAATCATATAGCTCAGACATCTATCATATATAAAATCCATTTACTTTTTACATGAAAACACCAACATTAAAACTTCCCTCCTATTTCAAATTTAGGAAGTCTGATTTTAGTGCAGGGAGCATGCTCAGTATGCTATAAAGTTTGCGGCGAAGTTCCAGCAAACTTTAAGGAAGTCTGTAAAGTTTGTTTACAAAGTTCCTTCAATTTTAAGAAAGTTAACAGTTTGCGGCAAACTTGCGGCACACTTTTACATCTGTTTGCCGAAAGGTCGCTGCTAGCGGCGAACACTGGTGAACAACTTTCAGGTCTTCTGGCGAACTAAAAAGATTGCCGCAAGTTTGCTGCAACCTTACCGCAAGGTTGCGACAAAGTTTCTCTTTTGATAAGGGGTACGTACAGAATGTGGCGGGATTAAACATGGCAGCGGCCAAGTTTGGTTTTATATTGGCCCCGTAATTTAATAAAAAATCATGGTGGCCATCTTGAAGAGTAAATCGGCAACAAAGTAGCAAGTCCCCCATCTTGGTTGATGGATTTGCTACAAAGTAACAACACTTGGTCAGCATTTCGTAAGGAACATTCATGCCATGTTTGGTTTCATTACATTCAGTATTTCTTCAAAAGAAGACTTTTGTATGTATTTCACATAGGGTCCTTTGTTAAACTAAGTTCCCCGCTGGCAACCATCTTGGATGATTGATTGACTACAAAATAACAACACTTGGTCAGCGCCTCATTAGGAACATTCATGGCATGTTTGGTTTCATTACATTCATTAGTTCTTCAAAAGAAAACATTTGTATGTATTGTCCATATGGTCCTTTGTTAAACGAAGTCCCCCACTGGCGGACACTGGATGATGGATCAGCTACAAAGTAAACAACACTTGGTCAGCACCTCATAAGGAATATTCATGCAATGTTTGGTTTCATTTCAATTAATGATCCTTAGAAGAAGTTCAAAATGTAAAAAGTTACGACGACGGACAACAAGTGATGAGAAAAGCTCACTTGGCCTTTTAGGCCAGGTGAGCTAATAAAAAAAGAATGATGCTTTGAAACATCCAAGCTATATTTATGACTCAGAATTTTTTTTTAATGCAATGAAATGTTGGATAAATTTCCTTCAACTGGCAAATTCAAAGGGATATTTTTTTCGAACCTTCTTCGTATGCAACCTAATAATATGGTGGTATTACGCCTGTATTATGGGTTTCATCTTTTCTATGATAATACTGTATGCTCACATCTTTTGAAATGAACACAGGTCTAGTTTGCTTTTGATATGGTTTTGACATTTTTGGGATCCTTCAAAAGACCTGCATTGGAATTGCTTAAAAACTACATTTCTTTGCATTCTGGATGGTGATTATAGTACCACTAGATCCAATCCTTAGAAACTTGTTCAGTTTCATTGATCATCGAGTACAGGTCAATGTCCACATAAATGGTTTTGACATTGACAGTACACGAGTGCCCCTTAGTTACCTTATTTATTTATTCTCATCACTGTGCGTCGTTGTTAATTTTAGAAAAAAATATCTCTGAAACTGCTACGCCAAATTTAACCAAACTTGACCAAACTATTCATTGGGGTATCTAGTTGAGTGCTTTCCAACCAACATGGTCGAAATGGCTTACAACAAATGCAAATGTGTTTTATCTTGAAAAATCTTATAAATAGAGAAAATCTTCATTTTTGCCTTTTATCTTGAAAACTAAAATAAATAGAAACTTTAAAAGCAGAAAATACTAGCAAGATTTACCAATAGAAAAGTCAACATGGCTGAAGTTGCTTGGCGATTTCTTATTTTAGTAATTGCGACCCTTTTTGGATTATTTTAACTACATTTTGTGGGCGGTTTGTTAAAGACCAAACAGCCTATTAAGTTCTACCAGTGATTTTTCCTTAAAATTTTGTGTGAAGGTATTTCATGATTTGAGGAACAAATGTGATAAAAAAATATTGGGGGTCACCGACTTAGTTTTGTCACTATAGTAACCTCAGTTTCGTGTTTTCCCGAATATTAACATGATATTTGCTTGTTATTTAAACTCTCAAAAAATCCCATTATATCAAACCTACAAGCATAATTCTTGTTTCATGTTAAACAGTAGATTTGTGTCGATCAAATACAGGTTGAAGAGTTTAAGACTCTTATTGTTTTGAAAAAAAAACCATATGATTTATTTCATTCCCGCCAAAAATAAAACGCAAGAATGAAAAACGGATTAAATATTAAACAGTATCTACCAGTGATTTTTTCATAAAATTTTCAAGAAGGAAAGTGCTATGTGTACTCTTCAAAGTAAGACTATTTGACTATATTAGACTAGATGTGTGGGTTTTTTGTCGCGTCAATTTCAGAAATTTGCCCTAGCGCACTCTTTCGCTACCACTGTTGACAGACGGACACACATTAGCACGGACGGACTTCTTTATACCATACCATTATGTGTCCCGACTAAAACGAACGTATACAAATTATTCCATCTAGTTTGTGAATTAATTATTTCTGAATATTTAAAATATAAGAAAATTAAAATTATAGGTATAATATATGAATTAAAGTTTTTGATCCTAAAACGTTTTACATCCATTTAACCTATGATAAAATACGATCCCGGTTATTACTACCTCACGTGTTTTAAATAAACGAGAGAGTAAATATAAAATACAAATAAGTTTTTAATGCAATAATAAAAAATCTAAGAAATAATTTTCCGTTGAAAACTATAAAGTATTTCTCAAAACAGGATGAAATATTATGAATCTTAATAGCTCATTTTGGAAATTAAAACAAAGACAAGGTATGTATAGATTGCCGGCATTGAAAATCGGAATTTGTTTTCAATCTTTCCGGTCATTGTAGCTTTTTGAAAGTGAGAAATTTTATGTTGGATCTTGTTATTCTTGAAGCAATTGTTTTTGTCATAAGTTAAATTTACAACAAGTTTTGTTTTAAAAACCGTAAATTTTGATTTTAATTCACATTCACTGAGTATATTAATTTCTTATATTTTTTGCCTTAAGCTTCTGTGTGATAAGGCGAAATCTTTATCATTTCTCCTTGAGACAATTTGAAATGAAACAAATGACAAAAGACAATGAACCTTTATCATTT